TACTTCCAATGCAGCCTCCCTTAATCTTTTAATTATTTTTCTCTCCTTCTCTAATGCCTCATTGTAATCTTTCTCTATCAAAACTGTCACCGGATACTTCTTAACGCCCTTGCGCTTATACTTCCTCTTAGATCTAGTGGCTATTGTCCTAAAAAAGGACCAGTTGCTGAGAAGGTGAGCTGCATTGTGCCAGCTTTTGCTGCCCTCACAGCATCCTTGAGCCCCTCCATCTCTCTCTTGTCGCCCAACTCTGTTTCTTTATCCAGGAGCTTGAGCATCTTACCTATACTATTTACTCTAATTGTTGTCTTCTCATCTATTATTCCATTTTCTTTCAGTTTTTCCCGTACTTCCTCAATCAGCTTGTCAGATTCTCCATGCTCAAGAGAGTTAACATGTCGCTGATGACGAGGATGATGCCTATCACTTATTACAAAGGCCTGTTCTTGACCTGTGTTAGGATTCTGGAGAGAGAGTCAGGCCGCCCCATCATGGCCAAAGAACGCACAAGCCTCCATTCTATGTAGGAAAGGGACTCCGAGAATGCAATCGTGATCCAAGTTGGGGGGCACAAAATAGAGGATCTCGACATGTAGAGTCCCAATTCGAATAGGCAAATAAATCAATAAAACCTTCCAAAGGCAGAAACTCGACTATATCGGAAAGCTGATGATTGACCTTCCTATCTATTCCGTGCCCACATGATCTCATTGTGACCGAGGACATAAGCACCATCTCGGCTCCAGAGTCGATTAGAGCTCTGACTTTCACGTCATTTACGGAGATATTCAAATATCCGCATGACATGTTGCCAAACCTCATCTTGGTACCAGGCGGGGCTCTTTCCACATGCTGAGGAAAGAGTCTTAGGCTATTGATTTCTACCTTCCGCCTTTCAACCATCTTCTTAAGTTTTTTCCTAAACTTAGGTATCAAAGCTACTGCTTCTTTCCAGGATAGGGTGATCTCGGTCTCCTCGAGCAATTTCTTTACTACTTCATCTATCGAGATCCCTTCCTCGACGTCGGATCTCAGGACCACCTTCCTCTTCATCTCGGCAACTTCCTTTCCTTTCCCTTCCTTCACTAAGTCCTTGGTCCCATCTATCAGTTGGTCTAGCTTTCTTTGAGCCTTCTCTCGCTTTTTCTCTTCGACCTTTTTCTGGCTGATATGGGATACATTCAAACTTTGACTTCCGGGATTGTCGTCTCGAGCCACTATCTCCGGAGGTAGCATACCATCAAAGGTAATAACATTAACTCTAGCCTTCTTCTTTTTATCCTTATTGGCCATAGCCTGTTCTAGGACAACTACCCGCATCCCTCCTTTGACTCGAAAATCTATCTTGTTCCAATTGGCATCACAGACGTGCTCATTGACATTCTTTTTGACAATCCCTTCTTCGAGTTCCTTCTCTAATAAAGGGCACCGAGTTATAGTATAGCCTTCCTCGTCACAATAATAACATCGGAAGGGGTCATCTCTCCTTTGCCAATCTCGGCTCTTATTATCTTTCTTCCAATCTCGGTCGCACTTCTTCTTTTGTCTCTCTTTTCTCCTTCGCCTAGCGTCATCATCATCACTACTCTCGCTCTCACTTTCAGTCTCCTCTTTTTGCTTCTCCTTCTTTCTTTCTACCTTACCTTCTTCGGCTCCAACAAGTGCTTGAGTTGCTGGGGCAGGAAGGGTTAACTTTTCGAAGCTACCAAGCTTAACGAGAAGACCAAGGATCTCTTCGGCCTTCAAGTTTCCTCCCTTAGCTGCCTCAACATTTTCCTCTCTTGCGCTAGTGATTGCTTTCATCTGTTCCAGAGACAACTTCCGGTTTGACACCGAGGGTAGTTCATGGACCATCTCAACTACTTCATCCCACTTCAGAGGATAATGAGCAGCACGGCTTACCACACTCTTTCTTTCATCCTCTGCGAATTTAGTTAGCAGGACATGACACTTCTGAGCCTCATCCAGGAAGGGTACTCTCCGCGCAACCCGCTCAAAATCCTCTAGGAATTGATCAAGGGTTGCATATTTTGAACGTCGCACTTCCAACAAATTTTGCATGGTCGTTGGGACGTCATACTTTGCATATTCTTCCAGCATCCTTTGTCTAACCTCAACCATGTTGTCAGTCTTTGTGCCGTTTTTGTTACCGACACCTTCATCTTAGGCTCAACATAGGATAGCAGAGCTTTCAACTTCTGTTTGTCCAACCAACCATGGCTCATACCGAAGACGTCATAGTCTTCCAGGAACTCCCTAACTTTGGTTCCATCAAAGCAGGGTATGTTCTCTGGAGGTACCTTAGCTCTTGGAAGGTCTAGACGAACATTCATAGTGTCCATCCCGGTCTTCATGGTCTCTATCCTTTTCAACATTTCTTGTAGAACAGTGGTAGTGGTCACTTCTCTGTCACCCGCGGAGAAACTAACAAGATTCTGTCTTGCGTCTGGTCCCCTGACCATCTTGTCTGATTTACTGGTTAAACTCCTATATTTCTTCCTGAACCTTTTCTCTCTTATGATTGCGTTTAGAATTGGTTTCCAGTTTCTCCCGTCGGTAAAACTTTCCGGCAAAACCGGTTCGAAAGTCCTGTCAAACACAATCGGTGCTATGTTACTAACTACTCTTGCTCCTTTTGTCTCTAACTGTCTTCTTTCTTGACCAATTACACTACTGACACGGTCTGTCCCGTTCTCCCTTAGTGAAGGGACATAGGGCCGGATATCATACTCACCAGTGTTGAGGAATTTCACTACAAGGACATACGCCTTCCTAGGGGCATGCTTCTCCTCCAGGGATATGCGACACTCTATCTTGTAGGGAAAAACTCCTCCATTGGTAAAAGGAACTAAGGCGTCTAGTGCTGCCGTGATTGCCGGACAGTAATACCCAGTCCTCAGCGACCCCCATGATTCTTCTTTGTCTCTGATCCGTCTAATCCTATCCAGTGCTTGAATCGCCAATGTTGATACTGCTCCACTTCCTATCTCTTAAAACGGTATTAAGGATAGGCTCCCAACTCTCACCATTGATGAAGCTATTCGGAATAGGAGGACTTGGAAAACTCTCGTACTCAGTAGGCTCCACACTCTAGGTAACTTTCTTATCTTCCTTCTTGAGTTCGTTTCTGTATTTACAGACGTGACTAAGTGCCCACTCGTGACACCCAGTACACCGCCGCCAAATCTTCCTAGTCACTAGAGTGTATATACGCACGTCATATTCATTTGTCTCTAGGAAGCGAGTTGCTAACACATACACTTTTTCTTCTGCCTCAGGTATGGCTAAGACAGTGTATCTCTCAATCTTATAAGGAAACGCCCCTCCTACCGTGAAGGGTTCCAAATCTTGGAGTGGGCGCGAGATGACCGAAAAATTAATATCTGGTAATACCCTTCCTTCAACCTTCTCCAAAATATGCCTGCTTCCTAGGAAACTAGCATTCTCCTCAGCCATAACAGGCTCCTTTCCATTGTCAGGTGAGGGAAAATTCAAGAGAAGCTTCATCTTGAACTTCGAACCGACGTACAAAGGTATCGGAAAACAGAGTCTTCGGTCGCATGACTAAGTCATTCTCTCTTGCCTTACCAACCACGGTAATAGCTTCTAGAAGAGGTGCCCAATCTCTCCTGTCAGCAAAACTATCCATAGTCAGAAAACTAGGGAGTCTTTCGAATTGCCTGACTCATTTTCCCCAAGTCATTTTCTCATGCAAGCTTCGAAGTAGCTCCCTTACCCTTGAGAGATGAATGTACACTCTCCTCAGGCACTCTAAATAGCCTCCTTCCTCTTTTATTCCTTCCTGAGCATAAACCCTCACGTCAAGCTCGTCAGTCTTGAGAAATCTGACCACTGGAACATAGAATACTAAACGCCCTTCCTTACAGATGTCGTATCTCAATATCTCGAATGGACTATCAGTCTCAGTTACTTTATCTAACCATCCTCTACCAATGGTCACAGTCGCAATTGACATAGAGTTCTCACATTCCAATATCATTGCCTTAGGCTGCTCCTAGAGCCTCTAGCCAGACTGTCCGCAAGATGCTGTCTAGAAAGAATGGTCTCATCTCTCGCATGTAGCATCACTCTCCTGCCATCCGAACTCTTGCAATCCAGCAAATGCCTAATCTTAGTCTGATCCATAATTGCTCTAAAAGCAGCCGCCCGCATAAGCTCAACGTAGTGCTCTACCATGCCAATTTCATCGCGCCTACCTAGCCTAGTGTCGCATCCTCTCACGACCCCGATGACAGTCGCTCGTTGCTCATCTAGATAGACCTCGAAGCAGAAACTCTTTCCGTCATGAGGCGTGTAGACATCTCTTGGCATGGCTCAGCACACTCGGTCCCTAAGTACCTCGTTGAGAATTGGTCCCCAGTCCTTCCCGTCGCAGAAGCTATCGGGCACAGGCGGACTTGGGAATCTCTCAAACTTTCTAGGCAGGACACTCCAAGTCACTTTCTTTCTTCGTTGTCTCAGCAACAACCTTTCATCTAGGATATGCTCAGCAACAGTTATCTAAAACGCCTCGTAATCGATCCCTCTCCTTGTCTCAGCAGATACATATGGCCTCACATCATAGTCACCCGTATCAAGAAACCGGGCTACGAGGACGTACAAGATCACTGAGTCGTGCTCATAAGTCACACACCTCTCAATGACGTACGGGAAGGCACCCCCAGCCGTGATCCTAATCAGTGCCTCTATCGCTTTCGTTACTGCTGACATTTACTACTTACCAGGTTTGTCTTTTCAGCACTGCATTGATGATTGGTTGCCAGTTCCTACCATCACAGAATCCTTTGGGTACTGGCGGGGTAAGAATCCTCTTATAAATCCTAGGCAGTAAACTCCAACTCGCTTCTATCCCTTGTAATCTCAAGTCGAATATCATAATCATTTGTGTCAAGGAATCTAGAGACAAGCACATGCACAGTCGTTGTATTTTTCACACGAGTAATGCATTTAATAAACATATAAGAAAAAACACCACCGCAAGTGACACGAGTTAGGGCTTCTAGGACATTATACTCTTCAGTCATCATCTGGTTTCTGACTTATGGACTTCTCAAGCGAAGGGTCTAGAAAACAAATTCCAAACCCTTGCTTTCAGGTCTGAATCATTTCAGATAAACTTCTGCAAAAGGCCCCTCCTCTCGGGGCTTCCCTAGCCGAAAGTCTTTCTGACCTGAGCCAGATCTTGTACGATATATGCTAGACTGTTGCCTAGTCACAAAATATTGTGACCAAGGTCCGCTCCCAGGAACTCAAGATTTTTGAGTCCCCGGCAACGGTGCCATTTTTGTCGCGCCCCCACTGCTCCAAGGGTCCGGTGAGATGTCCTTCCCCGTACTGAGCTCACTGGGTTGATGGACTGACAGACTGTCATGCAGGATTTTTGGTAGGTATAAAAATAGACGTGTGTTCAGAGGCAGTCACACTTTGTCATACAGCCGAGTAGTCAGGGTTATCCTTCCTGCCAGCGGCGACACGGCTCAGAGTAAGGCGTTCGGGTTTATCGCCTGCGCCTGACCCCGTATAAAGGGTAGCCTCAAGGTCAGCAGAATCCCTATCATTCAGGAGTCCTTCAAACTGCCTTGAGTGTAACCTGTATAAAATAAGGAGGAAAATAACATACATGCATCATAGAGCAATTGACACTGACAAAATGAGAAGACCAGAAACCAGACTCTACAAGAGTATGACCAGAGATACGAGACTGAAGAGTAGTACACTAAGTATGCAGGGAGCAACCATTGGAGGGTTGTAGTCACTAATAAATAATAATGTCGCAATACATCAATAGTGACTGAAAAGAGAGAACCTCAATCAATGATAATAAGCGGTACCCCCTCGTGAGTAAGTGTTGCCGTCTGGGACTCCATATCTGGCGCCTCGTCATTGAGAACTCGCGTGGCTATCGACTCTGGAACCACGTAGCTGATGTCGAGAGGCGCTGTTGGATCAATCTTGCAGATATAGGCTATGCATCTAGCCATCTCCTCGTCTGCGACGCTCCTGAGATAAAGCTCCTCCGCAAGAATGATATCGTCTGAAGCTCCAATCAATATCTCAATACGTCCTCTCCCATCAGAGTAAATGTAGGAAACCTCGAGAAAGCGATCTCCGTAAAGAGGCTTTCGATAAGCCTACATAGCAAAGTCTGTCCCGACAAAATGACTATAGCCATCTTCGAGGTATGGGACCGGACCCTTCCCTCTTGGGGGACCAATAACTGTCTCAGACCTAGGGTCGTCTGACATGTAGTGATTGGGACTCCGGATCTGGTTATCTCTCTCTGGATCCAGTCGTCCTTCTGCCTCTTCTCCTTGCTGCGGGGCTCACTAAGGGGCTTGGGGTTGCATCCATCAAAATCGAAAAGCACACCCCCAGGAGCTGAAGGTACGCGAGGAAACACCACGTGCATCCAGTTGTCCCTCCAATAGCTCTCCCTGCGAAATATGTAATCCGCAATCCTGTCGTATGTGGTGCCCTTCATTCCCGTCTCTGCCCCCTTCACCGAGTAGGTGATCACGAGCGCGTGTCTCGAGGTCGAGGACTCATTAGCCCTGATAGTGAAACTCTGATGTCCCGCTTGTCTGTAGCAGAATCTCTCAATCAATCTACCCCACTTAGGGGTAGTCTCACGACATCGGACCAGCTTGGATGGAATGGATGCTCTCTAATGCAAATACTCCCTCCAAGACGTGACCAAATGGCAATCGGCAACTCAATATGGAGGCCTGTCTGAATGGCCTGACTAAACTGCAATTCGATATCGGGCCCGCCTGAATGGGCCCGCCTAAACAGCAACTCAATATAAAGCCCGCCTGAATGGGCCGACTGAACAGCAACTATCTGCGAAGAAAGGGTCCGCCTTAAGGGGCCTGGCTGAAAAACTGCAACAATCTCGAGAGGTGGGCCCGCCTGAAGGGGCCCGGCTAAACAGCGATAATCTCGAGTAGGCCCGCCTGAAGGGCCCGGCTGAACAGCAACAATCTCAAGTAGGCCCGCCTGAAGGGCCCGGCTAAACAGCAACTGATCAGTAAAACATCTCATGCACAAGGACCAGTCACAAATGCTGAATGTACTGGGCTAGATTAAGCCAGGTCATCTGTGCAGGGACTGAACTGCCAATGCTCCCCGTGCGAGGGAAGATATTATGTGCATGAGGTGTTGCTGATCAGCAAAGAAGTAAATCAACGGGAGCATGA